TTGGAGATGAGCAGAAGCAAGGGAGTCCCTCTGGGCTGCAGGGCGAGGCGAGCGGGACCATACTGGGCTGTAGCAGACTCATGCGGTCGATTCAAAATGTTCGGACATTCCTCCAGCATCTCAAATTTTGCACACTCCTGTCTTGTTCACTTGAATGTGCTCTTCGGTCTCTCTGTGGTCAGAAACTGCTGGTCAATGCTATGGGTTGACGTGGTGGTCTAAATCCTTCCCTGCCAAGGACAAGGCTCAGGCACTGAGCTTGGCCAATGCTGTCAGGCCACGAGGTATCAAGCCTTTTTAAAAGTGCCAATCATGATTTATCTTATTAGCTAAGCCTTATCACTTGATTGCACTGGGAGCGTTGGAAAGAGCACATGAGGGCTTTCCCTCCATCCATACCGTGGGTGGGAGGCCCAGCTCGGCTGATGCCATCACTCATGATGCTGACCCACCACTCTCTGCAGTGTCACGGATGCATCTTTGCATGTCAGCAGAGCTCATGTTTATGAGATTAATTGGATGCTTTCATATTATTCATTCCCTTAAATTACCAGGAAGAACTATGTCCCCTTTCCAAAGCCGGCAGTCTCCAGTAGGAATGAAATAACTATCAATTGGAGTTACAATACCTTTTGTTGATGTTGGGGTTTTTAAGCTATAAAAAGTACCAATTATAAGCAGTTTCCATAGCAATGAATCCTTGGATTACAGAATGAATTTTCAGAGGATTAGCTCTAAGCAACTCGCTACAAGTTGTCCGCAGAATTGCTGCGGCACAGGGAGACAAACTAAAGGGTTTTGTGAAACAGATGGGACTGGAGGAATGATCTGGTAGCAGAAGACATCACTTTGTCAGGTGCACCTAGTGCAGGACTTCAAATTTTCCTTTGAAATCCTCTCTCCCAGCTTATCAGGCTGGCTGTTGCCTCCGTGTAGACTTCCTCCTGGAAAACTCACCTGCCTGAACTATCAGCACCATGGAGAAATTGGCTTCTGCCCTCTTTTTTGTCATTTCTGCCTGGCCTAAGCGAGTCCCCCAGCCAAAGAAAGAGACCTTCCTCATGAGCCCTGCCTCTGATGCAGGAAAGCAGTTTTTTCCAGCTTCTTGGTTATAGAAGAAGGAATAGTTATGACAAAGCTGTGCAGAAAATTACTGTGATTAGCCGTATTAAATGGTTCTTCATCACTGCTAGTGCTTGGCTGCTAGGAAGAAGGCCAAAGCTAATAGATATCATTTATTTAAAACCCTGGCAGCCTGTTGTTTTGTTAGTTAGCAGTAGTAATACCAGTAGTAATGTTAAACATTCTCTGAAAATACAGTTTTGGGCTGATGTATAATTACTTTGCTGGCTGCGTTCTTTTTAATTGCTTGGTTATTTACAGGATTTAAATTATTCCTTCAGAGTAGTGGTGCCAGTGGTACCATATAACATCGTTATTGCTTCTGTTACTGCTGTTTGTAGCACTGCGGAGTTCAGGAGCCTCATAAAATGTATGTAGGGTTGTGTTTGGTGCTCTATATAGAAGAAGTTGAGATCTGATATTAAGAAGTTTTTAGGGTGGGAGTCAAGACTTCTCTGCTGCAGATCACAAATGGGGAGCCCAGTGCAACTTCTGAAGCGCTGGGAATAAAGGTCACATCTCCTAGGGCTGGGGCAATGAGTGAGGGCTGCGGTTCCCCCGTGTCCCGCCTGACCCGCGCTGGCTTAGCTCACCTCCTCCCCCGTGATGGGGTGTGACGCCAGGGCTGCAGAGGGGACCCCAGGTTTCTCGGGGTCCCCCATGCTGGAGCAGAGCTGCTTCCCACCGCATTGCGGGCGCTGCCTGGATGCAGTCCGAGCCCGCCAGCAGGACAGGCGGTCCACGAGACTGGAGATGGCATTTCAGGGATGGGTTTGGCAGCAGCATTAATAGCAGGCTGGAGAGATGTGATAGGATTGCCGGCGCCTCTGATGCAGGGCAGGCAGCCTGATGCAGATTGTGAGCGAGTGGCAGTGTCAATCCCCAGCACCTCTGTGTGAAAAGAAGTGGCAGGGGTGTCCAAACATTGCTCCCAGGCTGTCACCTCCAGCCTGTGCTCCTGCTCCTGCCCAGCACCATGCCCAAGTGGCACCCACCTCTGCTGGGACCCCCGCAGTGACGCGGCCAAAGCACTGGAAGCAAAATCCTTTGCGTTAAGATGCATCAGAAATCTGGGAAGAGTTTCAGTGAAACACTATGTTGTTTAGTTTTGAGGGGTTACTTCGAGCCAGTTTGAAACATTTCTGTGACCCACAGCAATGTTCTGTTTATCTTTTATTATTAAACCTTGTGTTTACTCTCTTTAATTTTTAGCATAGTTTACAATCTAAGATGCTGTTCTTTAAAAAAAAAAGGTTTAGGAAATTGTGAAACAAGATGTTTGGGCCTTGCTGAGATGAAATGTTCCCCTTTGAAGTGAAACTATTTAGGTATCTTCAGAATAAGCGCTTTATTCACCCTCCAAAATGGTTATCTGAATTCAGCTGGTTTAAGTTTGGGCTCTGGGATGTACAGAAGAGTGGTTTTAAGTTGCCTCTTTCCACCAGAAATAGCAGTGAAACTGAAACTGCAGAAATACAGGCTGGTAAGCAAAGAGGGGCAGCTGCTTCAGGAAGGGAGAGTGGGACCTGCAGGGAGACCCTTGCTGGGACGGAATGGGCAGGAGGGGCCACTGCCTTGGCCAGGGCACTGTGGCCAAGGATGGTTGTCTCAGCCTTTTGTAGACTGGTAGCAACATGCCTTCTACGAGCATCCTCCTTTGATCATTTTGCTGCAGGTCCAGTTGTTTTCTCCTTTTCTCTGTATTTTATTGGTACGACTCCAGCAACGTGAGTGAAGTTACCCTGATTTTACAGCTGAGCAGTGTTAAGCAGAGGCTGGTCCATTTGCTTCCTGGGTAATAGCTGTTTAAACCATTTCAGCTGGATGTGCAGTGCAGCTGGCCTTATTCCCTGAAGTTTGTCATTTAATAATAGAGAAGTAGCTGAGCGATCCAAAACATACATCCAGAGCTGACCTAAATGGGAGTGCATGGGCACAGAAGACTCAGATTTGCTGGCTTCAGTCAAAAACACTAACATGCTCGCTGTGGAAGATGTGAGCATACCTCTATAGAGATGCTGTGCATTAACCAAATGTTTTTCTGTGTGTTTGTAAATACCTTCTTTATGCACGTGTTTAGCTGCCACATCTTGATACGCAAACTTTGTGTATCACAAAGTTTGCTTTGCACGGGGAAGGAGTCTCGGGAGCTTCCTGCCCATGTTCAGCTTTTAGAACTGCACAGCGACAGGAGCAGCAGCCATGCAACCATCAGTGTGGCTTTAAAATGAAGTTAAATGTTGTTTCTGTTGTGCAGAGAATGTTTTCCTTTTTCTGCTAAATCCCCAAGGTTTTCTGTCTAATGAAAGAAGTGTGTTGTCATGTGATACAAGAAAGTAAGACAACGTTTGAAGTGGTGTTAGTGGAAAATATCATTGTGCTGAAACCAGTTCTGAAATAAATGATATTTGGCACTTGCAAAATGACAGCAAATAGATTTAGAAGTTTTGGGCTAAGTTATCAGATGATGTAAACTGGCACAACTCCATTGAAGTCTATGGAGAGGTGCCATCTTACATCAGTGGAGAATTCGGTCCTTTTAAAAAATTAGCTGCAATTCTTATCTAAGATTTTCCATTCTTCATCTCTTGGGTGAAGGACAAAAAAACCCCTTTTGTATTGTGTAGTAAAATTTGTTGGAAAATGCAATGGGTGTTTGCAAGCAGTCATATCTACATTTATAAACCATAGCTGGTAGAGTTAAAAGCCGAAGCTGGTGGAGCTGATGGTTGTGTCTAATGGACAATGTAGGTGGTCCCCTCATGCACGTATCCACCGCCTGGATGATGCCCAGGACAGGATTACGCTGGGAATAGCAGCAATGTACAGACTGTCTCAGCCATAATTTCCTGGCTGAGTTGACCGTGTTTTCATGCTTCCTGGTCCAGAAGCTTTGTCATTATCTGCTGCTCTCTGAGATAATAGCCAGTGTGGAAAATCCAGCCTGCTATCTCACTGAAACAGAGAGGTGGGTAATTTTCTCCATGGACAATCTGCAGATATGATTGCTTGAGTTCAGAAGGGATTGGCCATTTCCCTAGGGACAGGTCTCTGTCTGGAGGAATGAACGTCCCAGCTTCTCTACATTGTTGAATTTTATATGCAAGTGTAGGGTTTTTCTTCTCTTGAGTAGCTAGAGTCTCTGGAAAGGCTGTTTTTAGCCTCTTGCAAGTCAGACCAGTTCTCTGGCAGGAGGTGACTGAGGCTATGGATGGTGGAGATTGTTTAGGTTTTTTTTAAATTAATCAGGTTGTCCTTTCATTGAAAAGTGTGGTGGTTAGCCTGCTGCTCGCAAAAGACCTTCTCAGTACTGCTCTCTGGCAGCTGTCATCCTGCCTGGAAGATTACTTTTTGGGTGGTGGTGGAGAGGTGGCTTTAGCATTGTCCATACTTCTGTACTACCAGATTGTCCATCCTTCTGTACTAGTCAGGTCTGAGGCATAGTTGCAGCACAGAGGAGATGGCTTTGGCCTCAGTGGCCGAGAATATCCATGTTCATTCCTTCTGTGGTGGCCTTGGCCTTTGGCAGTGGAAGCCATGAGACTTTGGTGACCTCCAGGGGGTCCTGACAGAAGCTAATGGTGTGCACTGACCTGGGTCTGACCCCTTGTCGCTGCCAGGCAGGAGGTCAGTCATCGATCTCAAGATCCCATTTATGTGGGCTCTGGCAGGTCCTCTCCTGGCTGCTCCTGAATATGCGTGGGTCTGTGAGTGGGAGGCAATGAGGTGGCCTGGGCTGTGCAGTCATCACTGCACAGATGACTCACATGTCTTCCCCTTTTTTCATATTCAGTCCAGAAAACACCATTTTGGTGTTTCCCCAGCACTTTGCTGAGGTAGGAGTTTGGATGAGGAAGAGGTGAGTCAAGCTCAAGCTGGGAGATTTAGAGGTGGTGCCAGATGTTTGGGAAACTTGGCCAAGAGGCACATGAGATTAACAGCTGTCCTTCTGACAATAGTTTGCTCCCTCTGGAAGAAAAATTCAGAGTATTCTCAGCTTTGTGCTTTGCCCCTGAATTACAAAGTCACTGAAGAGTACTTTATAGCAGTTTCATTTAGCATGTTGTTTGTGACCATTCCCATGGACTTCTGCCTTCCTAACTTTTCTCACCTCCAGCTAAGCCTATTGTGTGGCTGTTTAAAAGGAGCAGTGCTTGAACAGCGCTTGGAAGCTTTATCCAGGGAGAAGCGCACCAGCTGATAGGCTTTTAGCAGTGCTGTTCAGAAGTATGTCTTCGGAATAGTCTTCCAGGAGAAAATTAAGAACTCATTTTGATTTGTAATGTTTTCGGTATGGTGTCAAGGATTCAAATCTGGTCTGAATCTGGAAGACAGCTCTTCCAGGAGCTGAGGAATGCCAGGAGCCCACGGGGACTGTTGGGGCTCTGGCGCTGTGGTGGAGAGGACAGAAAAAAATAGCTGCTGGGTGGGATGATTAAGGGGGGAGGGAAGAAAAAGATGATCAAGGAAAAAATATTACTAATAAATAAATAAAGCCCTGGATGCTTAGCCATTGTGTTTGGCAACATGTGAGTGCCTTGTGCTCATTAATGTGCTATCATTGTGGCAGCACAGTGAGGAGAGGAAGTGTTATGATTCCCATGTAGCAGATGGGGAGATGCAGCTATGAAGATGCACAGCAAAGCCTGGGATGGAGCAGGGAGATGAGCCCCTGTTCCCCGATTAGCAATCCAACCGTTGGTCCCTGTTGGCAGTCTGTTGGTGGCCATGCAAGGTCTGTAGGGAAGGCACCCATCCAGCTGAGATGGGTTTGTCCCTTTCATCTTGGGATTTGTCCCATGGCTCCTGCCTACCCTTCATCTTGGGAGAAAATCCTCCCAAGCAGCAGTCAGTGTTTGAGCTTTAAAATGCAATGGGTTGTTGCTGATTTAGAGCTGTAGTCACTCAGATTTGCAGCCTGAGAGACTGACTTTGTCATTCTTGTGCCCTCTGAAAATTAGTTATGACTGCTGGACTTGGCAGCTGAGTGGCAGACTGACGTGTGGTCGGTCCCCTGCTGCCAGGGCTGGCAGATGCCGCGGGCGCCGTGGCGTTGGCGTCCTCCTCCTCATTGTTGTTCTGTGGTGATCTCACCCCGGCTCCCAGGGACCATCCCATGAGCACTGCTGACTGGCACCTGGCCCACGTGTCCTTACGAAGATGTTAGTCTAACATCTGAGGGGGTGGGACAGTGATGGGCCGAAGTTAGTGTCTTAAAGAGGCTCTTCTGTCTTGCCTTCAAATTGTCCAAATTCTCATCAGGATTCTAAATCACAGATTTTTTTTTTTTTTTTTTTTAATAGCAGATATCTGAAGTCTTCTAGGAAAAGTTTTGGGCCGATTTGATGAAAAAAATTCTGTTTTCTTGCCAAATCTGGTATGACTCCTTCTTCAACTGTGGGCAAAGTCTCATAAACCATTTGTACCTCAGGTTCCTAGCCTCAACATGGAGATCCTTTGCTCCACCCTGTTTCCCTTTCTTGTGTTTTTAGATGGTAATTTTTTAGGCTAAGGACTGTCCGTGATTGTACAATACCCTGGTCTCTGGCCTAAAATAACAGTTCAGTACTTTATTCTTATTCATACCACGCATTTTCTACGTGACACTGAGACAATCATTTGCCCGCTCAGTGCTTCTGTTTTCCTATCTGGAAAGTAGAGATAATGCCTACTTCCAAAGCAGATCCCTTGGCTGGAAGGTGCCACCTACGTGCTGAGCACTGTTATTCCCTCTGCTAAATGCGCATGTGCTCGTCATTAAACACGGACAGGACAGGCTGTTTTGTAATGGCGGTTGTCCCCCTTGAATGCAGGGACCTGTAATGGATCTGGTCTGCCGGGGTAGTACCACCTGCTGAATGTGCTGCTGTGATGAACGGTAGCATTTTTCTTTTCAACAACTGGACAGCACTGTCTTCTGTGAGGTTTGCATTAAGATAAGATGGGGTTTGTCCAGATTTCTGTTTTTTTTTTCCCTTCCCCCTGCAGCATTGTTCAAACTGGACAAAGGGTTCTTTGTAGATGTGTTGGTGGTGGCTTGCTTCTATTAAAGACATGAACAGTTTCTTACGAAGCAATTGATGGGAGCCAGTATTCATGTGTGTGGAAGTGCAATGAAGTGATACAGTTACTGTTCTGAAGCAATCAATTAACTGATTGATTAAATTATATTACATATTATAATATGTATTATATATGCTATAACTCTAAATTGCATTTATGTCTGCAACATACAGGTGTGATGGTTGGGTTCAATATGAGCGGAGATCTCCGGAAGCCAGCTACCAACATCCCCCTGGGGTCTCTGGCTGCTATTGGCACCTCGTAAGTCGTAGATGGGGGAA